CCTCCCTCAGATATTGGTACAAGCCAGAATCTGCAATAGACAAATTCCTCCTTTTAGGAATAGCCATTAGAAACAAAAGCCAGTGTTGGAACAAAATTAAGATTACAAAAGTCAAACTTTCAAAAGGGGGTCAGGGAACTCCCAATGTTAAGGTTTCTTCTGCAACACTGAATTCAGCCACTTTGCACATTAGAGAGATTTTATGGCTTGAGTTAATAACCAAAACCAAAGCACAGGAGTTGGGAACGGAAAATTTCCATTTGAGCAACACTACATAAGGAACACAGCAGGAGAAACCTCAGCCAGGGAGTTATCTGGCCCACTAGTGCTCGATGTTGCAATCTTAAATGTTCCCTTCACATTTTAAGAAAGCGGCAGGGGAAAGCATAAGAATCCAGAAAGATGCGTCTCACAGCACAGCCTTTGCCAGCAGAGCCTGCGAGTTCCCTGAAGCATGGCTTTTTGGCCGGCGCACCTTAAGAGCTCTGAAATGAATCTACAGACAGGCTTGTCGGTGCATGCACGCTTATTAAAAAGCACATGCTTGGTTCCAATGAAGAACAAATTCGGCACTATTCCTGCTTCAGCCCATTCTGTTTCCACCTGCAGGCAGTGAGCAAGGTGGAGCGTAAAGAGTTGGCAAGAAAGCCACTGGGAGAGCAGAAGAGACAACGCAGCAAGGGGTGCAGTGTCAGGAATTTCAGGGAGGCAGTGGGAGAGCATTCCCCACTTTGTCCTGCCTTCCTCCCCCATTGCCATTGTAAATCAAGGTGCACTGATGGCTTGGATGAATGGGAGAAACACAAGGGGGAGAGAAAACAAACAGGTAGGAAGTGCTTTGTTGGGAGGGGGTGGGGAGAGAAAGTGCCAGACCTGAGTGAAAAAAGGGGACTGAATTCACGTCACCGTGGTATAAGCAGGGCTATTTAGTAGCTAGAGAATGAACCTATAAAAGCTCCATGGGGGGGGGGGGACCAAAACAAAGGGAGCCAAACGCAACTGTGACCACGGATCATAAATGGATCATGAAACAACCCCCTCCCCGCCACCCTTCAGCCCACCCAGTGAGGAAGTTGGCTTTAAAACAAAACACACAATAACTCAGATACACACCTGACATCCACTTTTCTCCTAAACGAAAGCATGTTGTGCAGGAGAGAGAGAGACAGGGCTTAGATTAGAGGTGCTGTACAGCGACTGGCGCTGCTGGAAAGCGTCTGGGAAAGAAGCGTGCACGGAGAGACCTCACAAAGCAACCGGAAAGGATTTGAGAGCCTGTCACCTTGAGCGAAGGTCGGCCACAGAGGACAGGAAAGCACAGCAACCCCCCTGCAAGGTGCCATTGATTTAAAGGCTGGGGATGCTGCTGCCAGTAGGCAGAGGAGAGAATTGGCAGCCAAGGGGCACCTTGAGTAGCAGAACAGTATCGCCCATTTGGTGCTTGTGGTGGTGATGCTAGGGCAGGTAGGCGGGAACCAGTTCTGGCTCCCCCAACAGGTCTATTAGGAAGAGGCCTGGCCCCAACACTAGAGCAAACTAAAGCTGATCCTTGTGAGGCGACTTAATAAGAGCCTCTGGGTCTGGCTCATCCCAGAAAGCCCCGAACCTCTTGCTCTGCCACAGCGGTTTTAGATGCCCCGAACAGCCAGAACAGCCACCAACAATCCCACTCCACAGCGTCAGCAGGCCACTTCCCAGCATAGGGAGGGGAACCGTGAAGTGGTCCAAGCACAGAACTGGGAGCCAGGAACTCCCGAGTCAGATGCCAGCTCTCTTTATGGCCCTGGGCACGTCACTTAACCTCTGCGTGTCTCACCTTGAGGGGACTGTGGTGACGTCAATGACTGTTCTTAAGGGAGAGGCCACTTGCATTCTAGCTGGGCCCTGTGCATGCCCACCCCTCTCCTCCCAGTGCTGCCCAGCATCTCTTTGCTTCTCCCTGCCGGGACCTTCCTAGAGCACAGACTGTCTCCCAGCTCAAGAGAACCCTCCCCTAGCTCCAGACCACCAACCTTGCCCTAGCCCTGGGGGAGCAGGCCTGCTGAAGGACCCAGCTCTAGGAAGAGAGTGGAACTAACCCAGTGACTCCCAGTATTTCCCAAATGTCTCATTCTGCTACCCAGCTCCAGTGCCCTCAGGGCAGGCTGCCTGGGTTAATGCGGTTATCTTGCAGAATAGGGGGGTTAGGTGCCAAGGGGACAGAGGGCATGTCAGTCTCCCCAGCGGATGCTCCTGCAGGGCTAGCAGGTGTTTCCATGTGGACACAGGCCCTGCAGCTGGGAGACCCTCTGCATGAGCTGTAGGAGGTCTGTTAAACCATCTGAGGTGCATTGACTGCCACTGGCCCTTGATGCACAGCATGTCTACTGCTCGAGGGATTAGCAGGCAGCTGGGGACTGAGATCGGGGGCACCACGATGGGGGCGGTGACCACTATCTGACTGCAGACTGCTCCTTACAGTCTGTCAGCTTCTGTTCACTGCACCCTTGAAGGGAGGGACTGGAGCCTCTCTAGCAAGAAACCTTTGGCCAGTGCTCCAGGGAACCATACCCAGTCCCCACTCCCCCCAGTCCCCGGGAAGTAAGAAGGGAGAGTGCTTGCACAGGACAAGTGGAGGATCCCACTGGCTGCCTACCCCCTTACTGCTGCACAGGCTGCTACGTGGGCCCAAGCTCCCCAGCTGATAGCAGCCTCAGCAGGCAGAGGCTGTATCTTGTGGTGCTCTTCAGAATTCCCCTGGGCCTAGCTCCAGGGCTCTTTGCTGGCATAGCCCAGCCCTCCTCACTAGACAGGCAGACAGCCACAGCACTAGGCCTTGGGAAGCAGCAGGATCTCAGAGGAGCCACATCCAAACACCAGGCGACAGAGGGGAACAGCCGGGGTGAAACGGGAGAAAGAGGAGAAGCAAGAGGGAGGATCGCTGCGTTGAGGCAGGACCAGTAGCAGCGGGACTGCCCAGAGCAAGGGGCGGAGCACCGCCAAGGGAGATGCCAGCCTGTGCAGCAGGGGCATCCCCAGCCCAGCCAGGAGGCAGAGACACTTACGTGTTGTTGACGATTTGGAGGCGCTCCCCTTTCTTGAAGGAAAGGTCCGTTTCCGTCCGCGACTCGTAGTCATAGAGGGCCACAAAGGTGGTGACTCCGCCTGGAACAGACCCAAGCTTATCCTGTTAGCCACCCTCCTGCTCCAGGAAGCATTTGCCTGGCACGGCAAATCAACCATGAGCCTGTTTGCAAGGCAGGATTCTCCACCACAGCCTTCCTCACACCTGGCAAAAACGGCAGTGGCCTGTGATTTCCCGAGCAGCTCCCCCAGCCTAAGGCATGGGGTTAGGGTGACCAGACAGCAAAATATCGGGATGGGGTGGGGGAGGTAAGAGGTGCTTGTATAAGACAAAGCCCCAAACATTAGGACTATCTGGTCGCCTTATTTGGCGGGCATCACTCCCCCTGGACAGTTCTCCCTCACCTAGCACTTGGCTTCCCACCCCAAATCTCCAGTTGCCCCTCCCCCTCCAGCAGGGTCCAGCCGAAGTCATACTGACCCGCTAGAGCCCCTGAGCGCTGAGGGGATGTGACTGTGTCGGACGTATTGAAGCCTCCGAAGAGCTTTGGCTCAGCAGCCATGCTCCCGAAGGAGCGGTTGGGGGTCCGATGGGCATCGGGGACAGGTGTCTTGCTGGGCGTTTGAGAGGAAGGGTAGCCGGCATGGTGGGCGTTCTCGGCAGATTCCAGGCTGCGTCTCCTCTGGTTGGGGTCTTTGGGTTTGCTCTTGCTGCTCCCCATGGTCCAAAACTGGAGGAGGAGACAGTGAGGTTAAGCAGATCCCTGTGGTCTGGGTGACACACACACCTGCCCACGAGAGTTTGGGCTGAAGCCTCCAGACCCCTTGTGGGCTGGCCACCAAATCGCTGGTTAGCTGGCAGACCTCCCATCACTACCACCAGGGGATGGGCTCTCCTCCTTTACATTCAGGCACAGCCCTTGTTCGCCGGCTAACATGACTGCCCTTGGTAAGTGATAATCCACATACCAAAGAGAGACGCTCAGTAGCAGTACAGTAGAATGAATAATGCAGAGCACGGGCCTTTCATGAGGAACAAACCAGACAGACACCAGCCTAGCCCCAGGAGTGTTTAGACCCATCCGTAGGAAACGGGCACCTCAGGGACTTGATGGGAAATTTTAAGGCCTACAATCAGGACCTTAGGCAGAAGAGCCAAAGACCATCTGCCCTAGCTCCTGGGCTCTACCTTGAACTCTGCTGCTCCCCTCAGGACTCCCTCATTCAATAGGTGAACTGTTGAGACACCATCTCCTTTGTGGGCCCATGCCCCCTAGCTCATCCCCGCAGACCCAGGCCCTGCAGAGGGCATGCAGGTCCCATCATGTCCGTGCAGTGCTATGCAGGAAAACTGGAGAGTGGGAAGCGATTAAGAATGGACAGCTGATGGCCAAAGGTTCACAATTTCCTGAGGGCAAGCAGGATAGCCAGCACCACTGCCCATTGGGCACCAGATGGGCACTCATCTGCAGATTTTGCCATGGCTGGGGAGGTGAGTCTCTAATACTATGGAGCAGGCCTGGGCAAAATATGGCCCATGGGCTGCATCCAGCCCGCCAAGCCACTGGATCTGGCCCGTGGAGGAGGTGGGGAGCCCCAGGCAGGCTCCACTGCTTGCCCTGCCGCCCTGCATGCCACTCAGAAATGCGGCTACGGGGCCCCGTTTGTTTCAAAACTGGAGGGGAGGGGGGAAAGCTTCAGGAGCTGCCCCCATCCTCAGCACAATCCCATTGGCCGAGTTCTGTCCAGAAATTGGCCAATGGGAGCTGCCTGTTTGAATAACAGGCAGACAAGAAGAACCTCACTCCCTCTTCTCAGCTCAGTTATTCACGCGAGCACATGGCTGGGCAGGCAGGCTGGCTGGGAAATGTTTTAAGCTCTGCAAGCTGTAGCTCTGCCAGCAGGCAGGCTGGTTTGGCTACTGGCTGGTAAATCTCCTGGCCAGAGCTTGCCTCTGGTATCCCAGCCTCACCCTTCCCCCAACCCTCTGTCCCCCTTTTGTGCCCAGACCACCTCCCAGATCTGGCACCCCAATCTCCTGCCCCACATCACAATCCCCTGCACTCCAGCCCCCTGCCCTAGGTCACAATCACCTTCACCCAAACTCCCTCCCACATTCCATTCTCCCTCCTGCACCCCAATCCCTTACCCCAAGCTCCCTTCTGCACCCAACCTCCATCCCAGACACTGCATCTGCTCCATTAATATCATGGAAGAGTGTGGCCCTCAACCACTTTCCAAATTCTTGAAGTGCCCCCCCCACATAAAAAATGATTGCCCACCCCTGCTCTAGAGCCATACGAGATGTGCTATTAAAACTGGCTGCCAAAAGAGCCTTTTCCATTACCCTCCTTGCGCTTTCCCCTCCCACATAGCTCATCTGCACAGCAGCGAGAGGCCCAGCCTGTAGCACTGCTTGCAGAATTATCCGTGCTTCAAAGAGGCAGCCCAGCACTTCAATCTGAGGACTGCTCCCCCCCACTGCAACACCGGCAGCGTGATCCAACAACGTTCCATGCAACCCAGGAGAGGGTGACAAGCACGTCCCACAGAGACTGCTCAGTGCAGGACAGGCAGGAGCAGGGGCACTGGAACCACGTGGACAGTGGAGAATTGGACAGGGCGAGCCATTGAACTGAAACGCAAGCCGTGTATAGGATGGAAAGCACTTCAAGCTGGGGGCACAGCAACACCCCAGCACCTCTAGTTCCAGCACCAACGGGCAGCAGCAGAGTCAGATCAACTTATACAAGTTATAACCACATCAGAAGTTCAGACCCAACTGCCAGATCGTCGCTGGAAAGATGTGATTTTAAAAATCCCTAAGGATTGGGGGGTGGGGGAGACCCTATTACCCACAAGGAGCCCACAGGGCGCAACAGTTGAGCATTAAGTTCTCATTCTGAGCACTTTAGGTAGTTAGTGGTTAAGCTCTTTTTATTTAAAAGCCATCTTTCAACTCGAGATCACATTCTATAAATACCTCCTAAATAGCAATATAAATGAAGGAAGGGAATTATTTGTGGTCTCTGAAGATGGCAGAACCCATAGCAGTGTCCTGAAGCTACAGAGGGAAGTATTTAGGCTAGATCATTTGGGAAGAGGGGGGTTCTTCGTAAGCAGAGCAGTTGTGCCAGGGCCGGAGGAGGTGGCAGAGATACCTGTGGTGCAGCGATGCGAGAGCAGGTTAGGTGAAGCAGAGCAGGAGGAGGTGATAAGGGAACCTGCAGATGCGTGGGGCCGGGCTGAAAGCCCAGAATGCTCTTTTCTGGGCAAACTTCTCTCTGACTGAAGCTTGGGGGGGGGAAGCGGGGTGAGCCCAGAAGTTCAAGTCTAGATTAACATGGTATGGACACAATAGTCTGCAAGCTGGACCAGGAAGCCTGTTCATCCCCCTGCTCTTAAAGTGATAGACAGCTTGTAGTTCCAGCACTGTCTTCAATACATCACACATGGGCATAGAGCCCAGGAGGTTCTGAGGCACTGCTCCAGTTGAGGAACCTCACCTCCACTTATGGTTTCTGCAAAGTGGGAATAAGTTAGGCTTGGGTATATGGGCCTTTGCTATAGGGAGCTACCTACACCTTAACATTTCTTAAATGGAAAATTCTTCATTCTAATGGACTGAGCTCAGTGTCTGTTAGCCACCTGGTCTTTATTATTGGATCCAGTCTTCAAACTAAACTCCTTTGGTTTGGAAAAAGCTGATGTCAACTGCTCACTTCCAGCCTCTAGATCAATGGTTCTTAACCTGGGGTGCATGCACCCCCTGGGGGTGCGAGATGGCCTTTCTGGGGGTGCGAGACTTGCCAGATTTTTAGGATTTTTAAGTTTAAAGAACTGACCTACTTCAACAATTTTTAATAAGGGGTGTGAACACATATTTTGAGAACCAAAGGGGTGCAGGCTGCAGTAAGGTTAAGAACCACTGCTCTGATGAAGGGAACACAATTCTGGTCCCAGTTTTACACAACACACACATACACTCACACCTGATTAACCTTTACTATCACAGGCAGCTGGAGCTACTCATAGCAGTAAAGTGGAGCACACATGCAAACGTTTGCAAGATTGGGACCCTCATCAATAGCTAAAGAACTAGGAATCAGGAGTTTTCTTTTGGCTTACACGGGGAGGGGAGATTCTTGGGCGGGGCACGTCCCAGATGGGGAAAGAGAGGACAGCATTTCTTTACTTCAAACATTAAGCTGTGCAAAGTGCTTTGAGAGCCTCAGGCTGAAGGCATTATGGGAACACAAACCAGAATCCTTGGGCAGGCCAAGAGACTTCTGTGGCAATGGCATCTCATGGGGGGGGGGAGGGGGAATCACAGTTTGCTTATGAATAGAGAAAAAACAGGAGACAGAGACCAAGGGAATAAGGTCTTTAATAATAAATAAATAATGCAGAAGAGCTCCAGAGAAAATGTGATCTAAGACGGCTGTTCTTCATGCTCTGGAATTCTTGGTTATAACAATCAGACAGGGAAAGGCAGAAACAGATCCGCCTCTTGCCCCCAGTTCAGCCTTTTATTTTTTGCTATCTTTGTCTCGGGTGATTCAGGTCTCCTGCCCCTTGTTCCCATTACTAGATTCTGCCCTGCTAAGTTCCATCTACGTGCAAAGGGAGGAGACACGCACAATGCAGGGCTGGGCCTAGTCACACTGCTTGTTTTCCACCATTGCACGGGCCGTCACAAGCACACAAGTCAACTCAGAATTTCCCCTGGAAACAACACTTCCCCAAACGGAAAAAGACTAAGTCTCGTAACATGGTGTACGTATAACAGCAGGCATTTTTCCTAATCATTCTGAGTCACATTCGTCTGAGTGAGTATCTGAAAAAGACAAGACACAATGGGCCTTACCTAACTGTGCTGTAATGCATTGCAGTGTCCTTTTCAGAGGCTTCCAAGAGCCTTGTGTCAGCACATTTCACTGGGACTTCCCCAGATCACTGTGTAATGGCGGGAGAAGACAGCATCTGGCCCATTGTCTTCTTTCTTCCTCAGCTGAAATCAGTTTCACCAGCAATGAAAGTGGCCCAGAGGAGGATCCCCGGGAAGATGAAGGACAATGACAGACACTTCCCTACCAGTGTTCCTGCTAAGATTTTCCATCCGTGAGCGGAATGAGTTTCGTCTTGTGGGCCAACATATGAGGTCACATGAGCTTGTCCAGATGGGTGCCACAGTGGTATGAAAATTCATGTTTTTACCACAGAATAACTAACATGCATTTGCTATCCCATTGTAAAAACATAGTGGACAGGACGCTGTACTTTCACCAGAAGACAAAGTAGGTGAGGGGGACATTGTGCTCCCCTCTCAACAGTGCAAAGGAGTGATAGAATAATTCATTTTAAACATTTCTTTAATTTTGGCAGCACAAAACAGTAAACTTATTGGGATAAAGATCATCAGTGAAACGTACCATAAACATACGTAGCACACAACAGGATATAAAATAAAAAGAAAAAAGATGTATGCAACAAATGAAGTATGTGTTTCAATGTTTGCAGGAGAAGGAATTACTTACACAAGCAAGAATCTGTAACAAATATTAAATTGGTGTGTGTGTGGGGGGGGGGTGTTACTAGAAGTCCAAAACGGTATAGAATATTATAGAAATGTACTTGTATATGATTCTTTGGGAGAGGGAACAGTACATGCATGTAGCTACTGTACCCTAAAGACTCAGGGGGGAGGGAAAAAAAAAAGCATGAATCACCC